AATAACAAACTATAGATTTAATTGTTACATACATTATAATACATATGTTATATACGTAATATATAATTGTATAAAATTACAGTTATATCAAAGGAAAACTTTATTTTTGATTAAAAAGTCTTTTAAGATATTTAAAGAATCATATTAAAAATAATAATAATATCAGTCAGTGTTAATTACTATATACATAACTTTTTCTCAAAGCTCTCAGATTACTCTTCTTGCATCAATTGTGAGGTGGAATTATTTAAAATAGATCAAACTCAAGATGGCTGAATTGAATTAAGTATAATGCCGGCTGTAGTATACCAAAGATCAAAATATCTTCAATTCTATCAAAAGCAATGTGAAACAAATAAATTTCATTTTAATAGTTGAGAAAATATTTAATTTGAAAATATAAAAGCAGTGCTGAAATATATCACATGTGCCGCATACCAATTTTTTGTTTTTTTTTTGGTTTTGCGGTTGTTGATTTCATTGAAAATTCTCTCAAAAATAATTTAAAAATTAATTTTTGCATAAAAAGTGGCAACAATGAAAAAAAACAAAACTTAATAGCATTAAAAAAAATTAATAAAATCAAAATCAAATAGCAAAATAATTTTTATTGAGTATGAAAATGGAGTGATAAATCAGGGTTCGAGGAGGGGAAAAATATTGTTTTTGCGAAAATATATATAAATATGGCACACGTAATAAAAAGTGTTATGAAATCACGAGAATATTAAAAAATTATTAAAAATAAAAGAAAAGTTATATCACAGTAAATAATATATGATAACAGTATATATTTCCTTCTAGTTCTGTTCTAGTAATATTAAGAAAACAACAATAGTATAGTACAGTATTTGGTGGACTAGAAAGTTAGCTGTTCATTACATTGCTGTCATTGATGAACTATAGTATCCCGTCCTATTTATAATTTTCGAAGATTTTCTTCTGAATTTCTGCAAAAGTTCTAATCTTTTCCAGATGTTTGTTTATCCACTCGGATTCATGGATGAATTCTTTGTGGAAAACTCTGTTCCAATATTATATAAGAGCAGAACATTCTTCAAGAATATGTAAAATGTTTTGTGTAACTTGTGTTTTATCTATATTTAGTTTCCATCTATCGATTGTCGAAGAACCACAATAACAGTATTCTACAAATACAAAAACAAAACCCAATAGTTGTTTTCAAAATCCACTGATAATAGGAATCTTCTTGATTTTTAGTAATATTAACGGAACCACAAAAACAGTTCTCTACTAACTAAACTAATAGATAATGTAAAATCCCAGTAATAGCACTTGCGCTATTAAATTTTCGTTTTTAATTTTTCATTGAGAATGTTAATATGGGGTTGCTTTGCTTATATCTGTAATCCATTTTCTTCCTAGACATCTGAGTCTTTGGCAACAACTGGTTAAAGTTTAAAAAATGAGATTTTAAAGGGTTAATAAAATAATTCATATCTTCGTATGGTTGGTTGGTTGGTTGGTTGCAGTGGCAGGTCATAAGATAACTTCAAATGTACCTCAATTAGCGATTTTTCGCCGTTTTGTTACCACATTCCTCGCAAGAACCCTAGTATAGAAGAGTAGAGACTAAATCCATCCCACCGAATTTAGGTAATTTAACAGGTCTTTCATCCTCACCATTGAGCAGTCTGATAAACTATCACAAAAGTATTTTCCTAAGAACCTATATCATCGGATACTAGATCCGAATAAACATTATTGTCTACATATATTTTTTGAATGCTCCGTTCTTACTTTTTTAAACATTCTTGTATTGATTTTTTTCTACAAGTTCATATAAAATAAAATTCTGTTTTCAAGGGAAGGAAGGAAATTTGAAGACGTGGCAAGCTTATTAAAAACACGAAATTCTTTTCTTCAAATATTTTGAAACCTTAATTTTTGAACTTTAAAGTGTTATAGCAAAAAACCCAGATGTTCAGGTGAAAAACTGTCTACAAATTTAACGCACCCAAATTAACCGGGAACCGTTGAAAAGTCAAAAAAGAGAAAATATGACTTCATTTTTATTACACAGTGTAAAAGACATTTGTCGGTATCATATAGATGTTCACATATATAGATGTCACTCTAAGAATTCGTTGGAAAAAGCTCTATTTTTGTTCTTATATAGGAAAACCTTCTTGTCTCGTGCTTCCTTTACCGCACTTATTATAGAAGTTACGGAAAATCAAAGTTATGAGAGAAAGAACAATCAAGAATTCTATGACTATTCCGATTTGGCTTCCAGAAGAAACTTCTGGAAACACTTCAGAAAGACTTCTTTGACAGTTTGTTGGATTTTGCTTTAGTAAGAGGAAGGTCTATAAAATTACCTAAATTTTATATTATGAATTTAGTTAACACTTCTAAGATTTTCTTTTAGGTCTTTTTAGGAATGTGGTAGTAAAACGGCAGCTAATCCCTTATAATGGGAAGAGAAAGAATACTTTATGAATTGCCATTACAACCACCCAACCTATCAGCTAACCACCTTTTCTATATAAAAACAGATTTCTTATCAAAGATTTCTTATCAATGAAATATATTTATTTTTATTTAAATGTATATATTTATTATTTATATATGAAATATAAATATAAATTATATATACAAAAAATTATCAAAGACCTTAACTGTTTATCTACGACTTAAGGTGGTTCTAAACAACCCTGTATTAGTTTGCATAAACACTCGCTAAGCCCCTGCCATATTCCAATATTTCTCAAGATTGTTTTGCTAATTAAAAATAATAAACGAAAATAAACAACAACAACAACAACATGAACAAGAACAGCTAGAACACATGAGTAAGGCGAAAGCGAATTTCCATGGAAATATTCTATACGCTGACTGATTAGCTATGTATAAGCAATTCTGTTGGTGTGTTGTTGTTGCTTTGCGAGTCAATAACATATAAAAGCAGCGCTGCCGCTGTTAACGAAATGCATTAACAGCAGCGCTGCTTCGTGGCGTGTAGAGCAGTGCACACTTGTAACATTGCATAACCGATAAAAAATATTATTATTATTAATTCTCAACCATTTTTATTATGCAATGTCAATAGCATTACAAATAAAAATTAATAAAAAATAAAATTGAAAAAAATCGTTGTAAATTGCAATAAAAAGATTAGCAGTGAATTTTGTTGCAAATATTGCATAATTAAGAAAAATGCATTTAAAGCGAAAGTAAACATTAAGTAAACGTAACTAAATTTCGCCTGCAGCTGTCGTAATAATTATCTCAGCGTTTAGAAATCAATTACGACCTCATATCGCACCTCTACGGCCTAGAGGACAGGGCACTTGCACTGCAATATGCAATTTAAAACTTCATGTAATATTTATTTAGTTTTTTTTTTATTAATTTATTTGCTTTAACTGATAAGCAATGGAATTGTTTAGTTCCTAAATGAAAGCGATATTATCTTTTTACATGTAATATTCAACATCTGAACTGGGAAGGTTTCTATAGAAGAATTTACACACTTTCAGAATTCACATGGCACTTTCATTCTTCTTTACTTTCATTGGAAATTATTTTATTTTTCCTATGCTTTCTGTAATTGCCAATATATTGTCACTGCTGTCATTGTTATTGGTTTTAGTGCTGTTCTAATGCATG